CCCCCCCAGACCCCCCCCCCGCCATACAAATGTGCTGAAAGAAGAAAAACGAGGAGATTAGTTTAGTGAGACTGTAATGGTTTGTTATCACTTCATTTTTCATTCTTTCATAGCTGAAGATTATGTGTTGTATAAGGGTTGGGGGGGGGCAGATGGGGGGGCAGATGGGTGAATTAAAAATGCTGTTGGTGCTTCATGATTTAAGACCCTTAAAAAATGTATATCTTTAACTTAAAATGGATTATTAGGCAGCTATTTGTCTCAGTTTCTACAGTACATTCTTCATGTCATTTCTCCATTCCTGGGCCGCATTAATCTGATGACATCACTGAGAGTCCTAATCTCATTTTAAGGTTTTATTTTTCATCTATATACAGGTTTAACCAGTGGTCACCTTCTTTTGGCACTAATCTAATCTACTCTAATCTAATTTAATTTAATCTAAACCAATGTAATGTACTGTAATCTAATCTACTCTACTCTAATCTAATCTCTCTGTTTAATTATCTATTGATTCACTTTTTTTAAACTAAATCAGTAGTATGCGGCTCGTTCTTCCTCCACCGTCCACTCCTCTGGATTATTTTTTTTTACAATCTGAGTTAAAAGCCTCCATTGTGATAATAGCAAGGGCAACTGTGGAGAATATTTAACCCCCCCTGCGCCCCCTCCCCAGTCCCACCAAGGATTTCTTAACCCATTTGTGTTTACACACAGACACCAACTTTTTTCAAAGAAATATTATTTTCTCTCTCTGACATTGACTTTGACAAAAAAACAGTTGAAAAGATACAGAAAAATGTAGGATTATTGTTCAATAGTGTCATGTCGGAAAGTGTGTGTGTGTGTGTGTGTGTGTGTCGTCGCATCTTTCCTGTCACGTCAACTCTGGTGAATTCCCACAGAAATGAAAAGCCATTACAGTTCCCTCCTTCCAGAACAGCCTCTAATGACATGTCAGTTCAGGCGCCTTTTAAATCCTCGTCCACAATCGTTTGTGACAATAACGCACTCTAGTCCTTGGCGTCTAAATGTGATTGCTGGCAAGGGCAGATGTGTTTATTACATCTCACACTACATGTGTCACAAGAGTCCATTTTTAACCAGCCATTCATGGTCTGGAGTGTTGAGGAGTGAATATGGTCCCTGACCTCCTGTGACATGACCACAGTCGACCACAGTCAGGAGTCAGTGCTGTAACAACAGAGATCAGATACAGTGAAGGTCCTTAAAAATAAAAATCAAGAGTAGAATTAAAATAAAAATAAAGGAGAAGAATGAGAAGAAGAAAGGACTGAAAATATTTCCTCTCACATTTCAATATTGACTAAACTTCACATTCAAACCTGGAGCTTTTTATACTTTTAAAAACTATTTCATTTTATTCCATCTCATATTTTTTTTGCATCTTTCATATTTCTTTGCCTTTGTATAAACAGCACCTTTCTGGTTCCACTCAGAGAAGAAATGTCAAGAATTAATGCATTTCAAGCCACAAACTTCAGAACTGGACCTGTCTGGTTCACATCTCCTCCGTCCTGGTTCATAAAGAAGTCACAGCAGAGATGGTTCACAGAGATGTAGGGCAAAAAAAGACAAACTGGACTCTAACTTCACAGAAGCCAATGACCTTCGACCTTCACTCATCGGCTACAGCTCTCAGATTCCAGGACTGCATTTTTCACACAAACTCGACTTTATTTCCTTTTGAGTAAACACCAAAGTCCCATCATGCACTGACAGATTGGGGATACATGTGTTTAACTCTGCGTATTTCATGACACGTTGAGTTATGATTATATTCACTCCTAATGACAGACAGGTTGAAAACAGTGTATTCCCCAGGGCTGAGACTCCACTCCTGGTATTTGTCACTCCTGCTTAAACGCAATTTTAAAAACAGTTCTGCACAGAGAACGGCTGGCAAATGTCAGGGTTCATTATTAGAGTTTGACAGAGAGAGAGAGGGGAGGGAGAGAGAGAAAGAGAGGGAGAGAGAGAGAGACATGTGGAAGTACTGATAAAATGATGAATATGATGAACAATAATGAAGGCTGTCAGGTCAATTTATCGTTAGGATTTACTCCCCTCCAAAAAATGGATAATGAGACATTTCTGTGCATCAGCGTTTCACCTGATCTTACAGCTCCTTCCCCGGGTAATTTTTCATTCATGGACAGATGGTAACCAGCCACGATATGAACCGAGCCAGGATATATTTTATAAAAATTCTGACGACACCTTTGTCAGCTGCAGTGGAGCGATGTTAACGGACGTTTACAACAGATTTCATCTCTTTCACTACAACACAGATAAAATATAATAAACACACGTCACTGACTTTGATTATTAATATCTTAAAAACAGGGTGTGTATGTGCAGGCCACCACCCCCACCCCCCCACACCCCCGCCTATTAAACAACACTGGTCTGACCTTTGCGACCTCAACTCCCTCACCCACCAGGCTTTTTTTTCTTCTCTTTCTGCCTTTACATCTCATTCTTCATCCATCTCTCTGGCAGCAGTCTGCAGTTCCTGTCACTCCTGTAGCTCTGTGTAGCCTCTGCACAGGAGGTAGCACCCCCCCCCCCCCGTCCCCCTCGCTCTCTCCCCTCCATCTATCAACTGGCCTGAAGAGCTGAGCTTACCAACTGTCACCAGCCTCATACAACACCATCCAGCAGAGGAGACGGAGTAGAGTTTGAAAAACTCTTCCCTTCATCGTAGAAAAAAAAAAAACTGAGGATGGATTTTAAAATCACTCCAAGGCAGAAGAACTCCGATCAGATCGTTCCAGACACAATTACACATTAAAACAGCATTTAACTGCAACTCTCACAGCTCTGTTGCTGACTCAGTAACATCTCAGTGTATTTATACGTACTGCTGCTGGTTTTTTTCTTTCTGTCACACATATACGAGAGCTCAAGTTCCTGCTCTGGACCCAAAACACAGTCACTCTGTGGTAATCCCAGAGTGAGGAAACTAAATAAAGCAACTCAACAAACAGTTGACACAAACACAGCTGACAGACTCCAGAAACAGCAGGGAACAGATTCTCTTGTTTGTAGCTTCGGCAACAACATTAGACTGAGGCCTAATGCGATTTGTCGTGGCTAACACAAACGCTAACGCTTTCAGAGACAAGCACTGCTGCAAACTCAACTAATTAGCCGTATTTCTTGACATTGTGGTAACATTGTGAGGAAACATTTGTCTTCCATAATGGATTTTTTGATCTGGAATATTCTCAGCTTGTCATCACCATGGGAAGTTTTTTTTTTTTTTTTTTTTTTTAAGTGCAAAAAATAAGCCCTGGAGTATTTAACTCCCTACATGAAAATTAGCCCTGGAGTATTTAACTCCCTACATGCATCGCTTTCATTTTTCCATACACGCATTAGCATACTTGTCTCTGCTTCCTCTAATGGGGGCAGGAACACCGTGTAACAACAGCGACCAAGGTATTAATGAAGCTTTGATGAATTAACAAATCAGCAGCATTTAAAAATGTATTAGCATATTCACAGGAGTAGGAGGAGGTGTGCAGATCTGCTTATTTCCCAGACCTATGTGTGTGTGTTACAGTTATATGGGTCAATATACAATATTTAAGGCAATTTTTTTAGCAACCAAAGGCAGCAAAAATCCACATAATCCACCTTTTATTTCACACAGTAAGTCTTAAAACTTATTTTTTATAACTCATCCTTTATATTTCACTGAATTCTATTTGTCGATATTTTAACTATTAACTTATAATAAATGAAGCTACAGTATTATGAACACAACAGGCAGTACTACTTGGCCTCAGTACTGCAGTATTTGACCACCAGCGTGTTTGCTGAAGTGTAAAACCTGCATTTGATCTGTGGGTTCGGGTGTAAACAACGTGGAAACCAGAGCTTCACTTACACAGATTGAAGAACTGGTATAAAAAAAAAAACCTCCCAAAACAAATCTGTCAATCAAAGAAGAACAACAGCTGTCAGCGATGACGAGCTCAGAACGTGGGGGCAGAGCGAGCCGCCTGTCAGAGACAACCATCACAGCAGGTTAGATGACCATCAGTTAATGGAAGAACAACAGCTCAGGTCGTTCAGGATCGGGAACGAGGGGGAACTTTACCACGAGCTGATGTGTCAGGCAGAAAACATAACGGACACTTCAAAATAAATGTGCTAACTTACTGAGGGTCAACTGTCATCAGAGTGATTGACAGAGCAAATACAGGTGAGGAAAAGGGTGTTTTCAGAGTTAGAATGGGGGGAGACGGGTGTCGAGGGGCGGGTCGACGTGACAAAGGAACAGCAGCAAAGAAGAAGGATGGGTTTATAAGACAGTAGTGAGACTATGCTGTGATGTATGGAATAAAGAGGAGGAGAAGGAGGAGGGGAGGCTGAGCTGGAAGACAAGGAGGAGGCTGAAGGAAGAGGAGGAGGAGGGAGTGTCTGACAGGAATGGACAGGATCAGAAATGAGCAGATCTGAGGGACAGTTAAGGTGGAGATGGTTGAGTCTGTTTGTGGCTGTGAGAACAGCAAACACGGTGAACTGTGGAGGCAGCGACAGAAACAGCAGCAGCTTCTGAATTAAAGCCGACGCTCAGACGGACGCAAATCCTCTGTGTTTTCCATGGGTTTAACCTCAGGCTAAAAGCACTGCTGCTGATTAAATAAATAAATAAAGAGCTCCCACTGTGAGCATAAACAAGTCTGTTTTTTTGCTACATTATTCACAGACAGTTGCATCAGGTTTCATCAGTTCCACAACAGTCAGTGAAGTGGCTGTGACTCTGTTCCTCTGAAAACACACTTGATCAGCTCTCAGTGAACGGATCGTAAACTGACGCACGTTCAGTTGTCAACATCTGACTCACCTGGTGGATGAACACCTGCGCGCCGCGCGGGCTCATGAGCAGCACGGCACGCCGTAGCGTGTCCCGGTAGCGGTGCAGCTCCTCGGTCTGCATGGTGCTGAAGAGGTCGGTGAAGACGCGGCTCACGTTACGGTCCACTCTCTGCAGAGACACGTCCAAGCCCAGCCGAGACGCTTGGTCCATAAATGTTTGCAAACCTCGAATATCTGAAAACACAGGGATCACGAGGGACAGGGGGAGAAAGGGTGAGTAATGGATGGAGCTGGGAGAATAAACAGACATAAGCCACAGTTATAAAAAAACAAAACAAAAACAAAAAAAAAAACCCATCACTTCAGGCAGACACGACGCAATAAAACAGCTTTATCCTCCCGGCGCTGAATCAGAATTTCAGGTAAACACTGTGTTTTCATCGTCTGTCGCCTGCACATGTGCTCAGCCATTTCAGCCACTGTTCCCGGGGCTTTGAGGCAGGTTTTATTCTCAGTCCTTGATCTGAAACATGACATGAGACAACAAATGCTACTTTGTTTATGTTTTCAGGGGGTTTATGGGATATGAAACCCAAGACAGGTGTGGCTGTCACCAGTGCCGGATCTCACTCTTTTTTTTTATCCGAGTGTGTGTGTGTGTGAGACTCCAGTTAAGCCCATAAAGAATGTGATTTGTGGGAGAAAAACACCAATCACATCTTAGTGGTTAGGGTATCAGATGTGATACTGAACTGTTCATTCTTATCTCTCTGATGATGTCATTCAAGTCAGACAGTGAGCAGGAGACATTCAGTCTCATTTTGAACCATTAGCATTTGAGCTTAAAACAGTTAGCTGCAGCTAGCACCACATTTATTAGCTTAGGTTTGGCTGTTTCGACCATAACAACAGTACCATGGTCATGGCTAAAGATGGTTAGCGTCAACAGTGATTTAAAGTTGGCCATTGCACGGATGCTGAACTCACTGAGTTACTCAGTTACTTTTTGCAGTATAACAACGTCTCCTCCATTTTGAGCCACACTGACATTTGAGTCGACACTTTTATTGGTCTTCCTGACCTTCTCTTGTAAAGATTACATGAGGGCTAAATTCTGCTGAACTAAAGAGTGAAACAAAACCACCCCCAAAAAACTAGACAGAGATAAAAAGGACAACTTCAAAAATTTTAATTTTATATAAAAAAAACTGCTCCATGTTGTAGGAATAGCGGCTGAATGGATGCCCTGACAAACAATACTGTGAGCATGTGGGGGGGCGGGGGGTGAGGCTTAATGGAAGCCTGGCTGTTCATTTTCAAATCCAGCCTGTGTCAGTGTTATCTCTTTGAAGGGAGCATTAAACGCCGCTGTGGTCAAAGTTTTCAAGGCAATTTCTTTGAACTTTTCCCCCAAGCCTCCACTAGATTCTGATCCTGATTTTGGACCTTAATTTAAAAAAGCTGCCCTATAGCACCTCCAGAGATCTGCTGAGTCAATGCAGGAGGGTTGGAGAGGGAAACCGGCTGCAGGACTGATGCAATTTGCACATAGATTTAAGTTGCACGGAAATCCAGCAGGGAATTAGGCTAACAAGAAAGAGAGTCCTGGACCAGGTCTGAGTGCTGCAACAACACTTTAGTGCACAGCCCGCCTCTGTGTCCCTCTTGCCTTCTTTGACAACAACTTGGGGCAAACGTGGAGCAGCAATATGACTAAGTGCCACATGAATCAAATCATACAGAACTAGATGCAACCTTCGATTTTTCCTGCTGCAATTTATTTGTGCAGGAACACAAGTTACCGCAGCGGCTGCCCAATTCTCTTTAGAATAAAAATGTTCAAAGTGCAGAACAAAACAGGAAATTAAATCATTTATCATCACCAAACTCCTACTATAACATTCACTGGATACTCCTCTCTATCACAACACACACACACACACACACGCATGCACGAATTTTTTTGGAGTTTTGAATCTAAATTGAAGCTGGAGTTCTTACTTGAAATACAATGGGCAACAACCCAACCCCACGGTGCTCACTTCTATTGTTGCAGTAATAGAACCATTTAAAATTGGACATGGTTCAGTCCCTAATGTAATAAGAATTAACTTTTTCAATTAATTCAAACTTTTAGTATTTTTGCTGAATGGTGGCATCAGGCTGATCACGCACGTAAAAAAAAGAATTTTCCAAAACAATCACAACTTTTGTTCGGCGTATTATACTGTGACCCCACAGGACCGGATGTTAGAGGTGTGAGAAAATATAAATAGACTAAAATATTGTGTCATTTTGTTTCATGATATTGTATAAATATCCTCCATCAGTTATAGATATTTTTTCTCACCAATTCCCAGTCCAATATTCCTGGTGTTGGTTCATTTTCTTTTTCTTTTCTTTCTTCTCTAGTGATTCCAAATGTAGATCCCTCTGTTCCAGTGTTAGGAACTGATGTTCAGATGGAACAGAGTCTGAGACTAGGATCACACTGGGGGAAAAACCCTTAATATATCACTGTGCCTATAGTATTGCAGTATATCACATCCTTAGCCGTGTATCATGATACGTATCATCAGATTCCACACAAATCTACCAGATATCCCGTGTATCATCAGATTCCACACAAATCTACCAGATATTAACATTAACCTATGACCCAGTATCGTAGCCTTTAGTTAAAAAGTCATGTTCTATAATGAGGAGCGTTGTGGGGATAAATGATGACAGAGATTTGATTCCACCTAAAACCACAGGAAACCAGCGGGCATCAGAGCTCCTGGTCCAAAAACACATTCAGGTTTACAAACAGGGCAGCAGAAAAGAGGATTAGAGTGGAATTACTGGGTCGGTATGGTGACAGGTTTACCCACAGATCAACACTGAATCCAAATCTGCTCCTGAAACCTTTCATCATCCAAAGTTAATCACGTTTCCATCCCTGGACGACGGCCCTGCTCCTGAGACTTCATTCACATCTCCTTCTCTGTGACTTTTTATTTTGTTTTTAGGGACAGAGTTGAGTCACAACAGACAGAATAGATGTTGATTTTTTTTTTTGCCCAACACCGTCCTGCCCACACGCCCAAAACCAATAACCCAACTCCCATATATGACCCACGGTGGGGACCTAGTCCTATCACATCTAAGAGGACTGGGATGCATCACATGTTTACATGTGTATATATATATGTCACACACACACATATGTATATTTTAATATATATTATACTATTTATTTTACCGCTTCCTGTATGTTTTTAAATAAAAATGAAATGTTAAATATTTAAATGACCCAGTGATTCAACATCAGTTGAATGGGATTTAAAATGAATACGTTCACCAGAGTATGTGGATAAAAAGAGACTACAGATCAGAGGAGGCTGTAAGTAAAGTCAAACTCCCTCTGGAACGATGGAGTGATGTATAAATGAGCACATCAACAACAACAAAAAAAAGAAAAAAAGAAAAAGCAGAGGGTTTTTTCTGTTTCTTTGTTTTGTTTTTCCCTTCACTCCAGACAGTTTGAGCAGACACTCCAGAGAAATAACGTCACTGCAGTGACCTGTGTTTACCTCACACTGAGGTGACAACAATAACATCAGGTACTTAGTGTAAATGAAGAGCAGAGATACTGCTAAACCACTGAATCTGCTTTTTAATCCAATCCACTTTGACTGTCTGCTCACCTTCACCCCGTTAATAAAAAGACACGTCTCTGAGACGACGACATGAGCAGTGAGTTTGTTTTCTTTTACTGATTACATTTCCTGAAATGATATTACTGCTCACATCAAAACGTATTTTTGGTCACAGACAGAACTCAACATTTTCCATTTACAGATGATTAACATTGTTACAGTTAGAATGTACTAATTAAATCACAGAAATAAGGTGTTTGAAAAGACACTGTTGTAAATACTAATCAAGACATTTTGTGACATCTGCTCTTTGTTCATTTTAAACATATTTAACAAACATATTTAACAAACTTAAATATATTTAACAAACATATTTAAGGAAGTATTAAAATATTGATACAAAAATATAGCAATATTTCGTTTCCTGATACCCTATCTATACTTATATCTAAAAATTGATTATTGTAAAAAAAAATGGAACAACACTGTGTCACTATGATAACAGTATGACCACAATTCTGGTTTGGACCAATCAGATCGGCTCGTCACAAGAAAATAACTAAAAAAGCTCAACTGAACTTTTGACCTTCTGCAGTTCTCCAACAACCACATGGTGTATTTTTTTATGTCAATATTAAGCAAAGTAGATCAATACTAAGTGTTTATCATTCAAACCTGAGTAAAGGGTAGTATTTGCAGATACTCGAGAACTCAGTATCTGTAGTTTGATATGAAGCGGTCCCAAAACAATTACTAGAAAATATACAAGAAAGGGTGGGGGAAAAAAATTGGGATTTCGACCTGAACTAATGAGCTGTTTGTATGAATGTGAAGATACAGCAGCCATAAATCAGAACTAAGAGAAGACCTGTGCGCCGACACGGCGTTCGATTCCTTCAGGGCAGATGTGGGCGCAGATCTACGCCGTCTTTAAATCACATGAACACTGATGAACAATCTGGGCTGAAGTTTTAAAAACAGAACCTCAGCGAGGGAGACAGTCAGACATCCATCAGACTGCTGAAAACTTTCTCTGTGGCTCACAGAGTCCAAAGTACTGCAGTAATACTCTGTCGACGGCCTTGTCTGAACATGCAGAGCCGGCCGGGCTGTTCTAACAGGACTGGACTGAGTTATTGTTCCAGTCTGGTTCTGATGAATGCTCTCAGCCACACTGTACACTGATTGCATTTTTGGCTGAGCAGTGAGGAATAAAATTGATTGGCCAACTCAGGTTTGTGATTTTGGAAGATTCATAACTGAATAAGTGGAAGGAGACAATGGGACCGGAACCGATGATCTGTGGGTTCCTTTGCTGGAGTCAGAGGATGAATTTGTAGGAATGGAGAAAATCGAAAACCAGATGAGATTGTTCTCGACTGAATGAATCCTCTGAATTAACCCAGTTAACCCACACTGGTCGCACAGCAGCACGGGCTCAGCCATTCACACTTATTCACACCATACAGAAGGAACCAGGTGACCTTTTTAGCTGTAATGGGACGTTCACAACAAAAGCGACAGGTGCGGACTGAGCAGCTCAAGGTGGAGTCAAACCCACAACCCTCTGCATGGCAGGTAAGAATCCTTAGAATGCAGCGCTCTAGTCCTACTCGACTCAACCCATTTATCGATGACAAAACTTTACAAAAAAGAAAAAAGCACATTTTCCCCAACAGTCGCCCCATATTTACCCAGTCGACCAGTTCAACAATCTCATCACCGACCCTTACTGGTCATTTTCAAAACTCTATCCAAACCTAGACAATACAACTATATACATCCATCCATCCAGCCAGTTTCATCCTCTTATAGTCTCCATGACCGCCACCCTAATCACCCTGAACCTTCCTGCGGGTGGTGAATCCACTGGAAGGTACCAACCGCACTAACTGAAATTCGATTTTACCCAGGAAGTGAACCCTGGGGTTCCACTCCGATGACAGAGACATTGCCTCTGGGCCAAAGTGCCACTACAAATATACAACTTAAGTCATTTTCTAGTTATAATAAGAACCTCTGCAGATTCTTCTTTGAAGTCTGTTAAATAATTCACAACCTTACATCATAAATTTTTATTTGGATTACAGTAAGCCATGTGCAGCCAGGCTGTAAATGAACGGAGTGGAGGGGCGGGGGGGGCTGGCGGGGGGGGGGCGGGGGTGGGGGGTGGGGGTGACGGGAGACTGAGTCTTCAGCTGTAATTGAATCATCATTTGATTCTGTCCCTTCTTATTCTGCTCCAGGTATAAAAGGCACATTTCCTATTCATAACACAATAACAGACTGTGATCCTGCCGACGGAGCAGCTACATCGGTGTGTGTAAATAATGTTTATTCCTGTTACCCCTGAAAAGATGAGCACCAGCCGCCAGAACACAGGATCAGAATATGGGCCGCAAATGTACGCTGATGAATGGAGGCAGCGGAGGTGAATCTTCAGGAGGCGTTGGAGTAATGTTCTCTTTATGCTCCTGATACATCGGCACACACCGGAAATTAATTGATTTTCCTTCATACACTTTATCATCACTCAGAGCCACACGGTGAGGTCACAGACGCCCGTTGTTTACACTGTAATCAAACATAGACCTCAGCCTGAACGCTGCAGTGCAGAGAATTGTGGAATGGAATTGTACTCTCCAAACAGAAATTATTCAAGAAAGACAAAAAAATTTTTTTTTTAAATCTTATTTATGTGACGAGGTGCCAGTGCTGTTGGACTGTTATGTGTGCAAACAGCCGCGGTGCGACGCCTTCTTAGCATCTGCCAGTAGACAAGTGCAGCGTCAGCAAATCTGACAAGTGCAGCAGAAATTCACCACAGCGTTCTCAGACATTTTACGCTCACTGTGGAAATATTCCCAGTCTTTTCAACACTCAGCTGTTCTGCACATGGACTGGATCTAAAAAAAAACAACAACTGATAATGGATAATAAAAACGCTACATAACAACCAAAACTCAAAATATATTCCAGAAAATAATCATCATCAAATATTTCCCCAGACTGAGTTGGAAATTAAACTTTTAGTAAAATTACTCTGGAATATTATCAAAATTAGCCTCAAATTTATTCCACAACCACCAGGTCCAAAACTGCCATTATTTTAAATGAAATGATTAGAATAATAAGGCAAGGCATTTAATTAACTTCAACAAACGAAGTCGTGAGGTGAATAAAACAAAAAGAGCAGCCTCTGCACTGACCACTGTACGACTGACCACTTTATGATTCTTCTTCATTCATTCAAACTTTTATTTTTCCCTCCAGTGCCAACACAATTCAAGCTGACAATAATTTAAAAGCACCAGTGCACAGTTTGGAGAAATTGCAAACACTTTACTGTACGTTCTGTGCTAAATGACTCTGCAGCACACCGCGGGCTCACACGGTCTGAGGAGAAGCCAGTCGACTCCTGCAGCTGTTTCCTCCCCACACACACACCCACACACACACACACACACACACATCTGAAGCATAAATCCAACATTTACTCTGTGCCAGCTCAGATTTGCACAAAGCCCCCTGCTCTCCAGGCGCTGCTGCGGGTCACTGTAGTACAGCTCTGCGGCAGGCACCGGGGGTATTTTGACTTTTCTGTGATGAGCATCCTAATTAGCCGCTACATTCCTTAATTAAACCAGTACAGAGTGAAACAGTGTAACTAAAGCACAAATGTCAGCGGCGCTGACTTTGTAGCAGCTAATTTGGCCGACTTTAAAAGGCTGTTTGGTCCGGCCCACCAGTCCCCCTGCATTAGTCACCAGCGCTGCCTCGTTGAACTCATCTCCATTCACTGCACACCGGAACTTTCCAGTGCAGCCCAGAGTCCAGTGAGCTGCTGAAACATGTTGTAACGAGATCATGACATGATCCGCTAATTAAAACCACACTGCACCAAAGCAGACGAAAAAAAAAAAAACACAGCTGCACTTTGCAGTGATGATGTTCCAACACTGACTGTGTTCTACTAATGATCTTCTTCTAGACAATTACATTTTCACAAGTGCTGTGGAACAAAAGGGTTGGGGGGGTGGGGGAGGGGGCTGTATAGTGGTACTGTAGGAGTTCTGCCTAATACAGCCAGTTCAGAGAAAATGTTAACCTAATCTCCACTCTGTATGTTTTTCAACTGAGGGAAGTAGATGAAGAACCTGGCAAACAAAGGACTCAAACCGCTGACCCTCCTGCTGTAAGGCAGGAGCTCTAATCACTCCACCACCGTGTGTACCCGTGTTGATGATTTAGCCCCACAAGAAAAATAAAACTTCCTCGTTGCTTTCCAAAGAGCTAACAGATTTATTTCAGCTGGTGAAACAACGGATGGGGTTCTGAAAGAACCTCCCTTAAGTCAGGATTTAAGGCTATTCTGGTCAGACGCACAGAAGGTATAGATGGATGACCAACGTCAGAAACAAATCCAAGGACATATTTGGGTGAATGTGAAACACACTCACTCTCTCATTCTCACACACACACACAGATCATCGTGTCAGGGTGTAGAGTCCAAACTGTCACCTGCGGTGTGCTGGACTGGGCTGCAGCCCACACCTCTGAGACCTTGTTGTACTCCACAATATATCAGGGCAAGTGCAGCTCCCAGTAGTGAAGAAACCAAACAGATTTACGCTGCTCTACAAACTGCACTCTTGCAGTAGTAAAAAGATTAGCCATCTAAGAAACGCCCGCACCAGGAACACACTCTTTACCACTGCATCCTGGCTGCTACAACTTATAGGATTTTTTGAATGAAATTCTTTCAATGTGTCACATGATTGACTTTCACAACAGAACATCAAGATGCTACACTGAGAGGAAAAGTCAGTGTAGAGTAGTTCAATCATAAACATATGTTCTGTTTGTTAGCACCTCGCAACTAGCTTCCCTTCCCCGGCCTGTAGTTGGCGCCAGATACAAATATACAGATGCATTGTTGATCATAAATACATATAATCCTGTAAATTGAGTTAAACTTAAAGCACACAGATCTAGCTAACATTGCATTAGCAGCCTGTCTTAGTGCACTAGTAAATGGCAAATTAGTAGCAAGCAAGTAGTTAGTGGCACTTAGCATTTGTGGGCACGTACTATGTATTAATGGAATGATTGTAATGCGTATGCATACACTGTGTTAGCTACGATTTGTTAGCCCACTGGCACGATGAAAATAAGCCAACAGCTAGGTCACCTGTGCCACTGTTAGTCCTTTTGGGCTTCACTAAAAAATCGGAATATTGTGTAATGCACTACTGCCCCCTACTGGGCCTAATTTACTGTACATGTAGAGACAGAATGCAAGAAAATACAGAGAAAAAGGCTGAAACCAAATACGTCCTTTAAAGGACTGAGGGGATTGAGGTACTTTGTGAAGTTCTCCTGTGTACTGACGTGTATCTGGCAAAAAATCTTGTTGATTTGTGCAAGTGTTGCTGATATATTGCACAGTGTGTGTGTGTTTGTGTGTGAGATGTGCACAGTGTGTTTGTGTGTGTGAGATGATGTTTTCTTGCACTCCAACATACATTTCTAATGTTTAATGCAGCTTCAGCCTGCGCCTGATTGCAGCGCCACACCGAGGGTGGTTCGTACACATTTACATTTAAATTAAATAGCGGGGATTATTTTACATACAAATGTCATGTTTAAGGACGCATTTTACAACCTGCTGCTCTGATATGCTCCTGAACTCACCATAGTCGCTCTCATAAAAAATGATGAACTTTCTCCAGTGCAGCTCGGAGACCAGGGTGAGCAGAACGTCGTTGATCCGAACCGGGGGGCGAGCGGCCAACGTGTAGCTTTCTCCGTCTGGGCTGGGGTTGAGCTGGCAGGCGGTTCGGGGCGAGCCCTCTGCATTTCTCTGGATGAAGAGATGCGGGATGTGCATTGCGTCTGTCAGCGACTGCAGGGCACTCGCAGCTGCACAGCCTGTGGATGTGACCAGAGCAAGGATTCCCTGGTTCATCAGCTCACAGGCTGGAGAGGAAAAGAGGGAAAATACAGAGAGGAAAGGATTAAAATAATGCTAATAAAAGGACGAAAATACAAGGGACATAAAAGAACACAACACGAGGGAGAAGAAAAGAGAATAAATTATGAAAAACTCAGTCTATATTTAATCATTTTTTAAGAGAATAAATGATGAAAAACTAAGTCTATATTTAATCATTTTTTGTCATAATGTATGTACACTCGGAGTCAGTCATGCTCTGGGATTCTTTGGTGTTTTTTAAAATATTTTTATTATATATTTAATATTTTTTTATATTTGGAATTTGATTTGAAAACTCTGAGCAAACGTTGAGGGTTTTTCTTTTTCTTCAGATAAAAATAAAATCGTTTTTATCAGCGGTAAAAGTCCTTAATGTGCTGGCAAAACGTTTCCACACACCTTGACTTTCTAGAACGTTCCCTCGTTGAGGTTTTACTCAGATCAGCTATTACCACCGGTGTATTTTTATCTCGACATCATCGACTTTAGAAGACTTTAAAATCGAGATAAAGGAAGGTTAAAGTTTAACTATCAGAACACTCCCGTCAACAGTGCGTAGTTAAGTCAGTATTAGACTTTTACACACGGTCAAAACGTGTTTATAAAATGTAAACCATTGCCGTCAGCGGGGGGTCCTGGGGTTTCTCAATGGGGGGCTAGCTAGGTGCCTGCTCAGATTTCATGTGGGATTTTTCGCGGTACATGAAATTTTTCTTCCCACTCAGAGCGTACAGCGGACACAAATGTTTTTGTCGTTTGTTACAGCGTGAAACAACGTGAAACAAACTCAAAGTAATATAAGTAATAAAGTATTAAACGCTCCGTAGCCCTACTCTCTCCCGGCCTCCATGTTACCACTGACGTCACATCGCGTCGTGACTCCCGTGAAGCACTTCCGTAAAAAAAACTAACGCAGTAGCGCAGCACATCTGAAAGCAAGTCATAAAAATCATTCATTACTTAATAAAGTTAAACTGATTATTAACGTTACTTTTAACTTACTGCCCATCAATGTTGTGGACTGACTGTACTTTCTACCACAGACAGTTATGACACAGGTCTGAATTTTCCAAAAACCCCTCATGAACTACTGACAGGTCAACATTCAAACAGCTCATCATATCAGACAACAGTGAAGAATCCATGTTCACGAATCCTTTAACAACAACAACAACCTCTTCAGCAGCCGTCCAACCTGTGGCCTCACCCTCACACCTGATGCTTCCTGCGAACATCGACGCACGGTCGACATCCAGCTGTAATCACTCTTTAATGTTACTCTGGAGGTTAAATCTAAAGTGACTGCAGGGGGGGCCAGGGGAGAGGGTGGGTGAGGGAGGGTAGGTGGTGCAGAAAGGACAGGGTAAAGAAGGGCAAGAACAGAGGGCATGGTTTCTGGGAGGAGGGTGAGAGAAAGGAGGAAGGTGATCTGGGAGTGGAGCTGAGCTGTTAATGGACCCGTGTGTGTGTGTGTGTGTGGAGCCATTAATGTGACAAATGAGTATTTCATCTGCTGACTTGAAGCACAGCAGACTACATTAGAGCAGTGTAAATCAGCAGCACAGTGACGAGCAGAAATATGGGCCAGAGAAAAGGATGGAGTGTCAGAAGGTGGAGGTGGAAGAGGAGGTGGAGGGAGGAGGACTGTGGTTTACTGTTCATGGTGATGTGTGAAAATGGAAGGGAACATTGGAAGAATGTGGAAGGTGAAGAAGAAGGTAAAGAAGAACGAAAAGAAGAAGGACAAGAAGGAAGAGGAGGAATCATTTTGTAGTTTTAGTGCTGTTATTTAGCATCATTTAAACTAACTTATTAACTTATTTTTCTTAGCCTTCAGGCTGATCTCCAGCTCATGGTGTTGTTTCTTTATACTCCAGGCTACACACTGTAACAGATACCAATACTGATACTCTACGTCTGTACTACTTAACTCTACTACTGATTTTTTTCCAGGCAACTATTTGTTACTTTGTGGAACAGATGAGATCGTGGTAAAGAAATAACTCTCTTCTTGGAACAGATGAGATCGTGGTAAAGATAAAACTCTCTTCTCCTTGTCTCTCCGTGGGGGAGGATGGGCGGGGGCGTCGGGGTGGAGGGGGTCCAGTCGTTTGTTGTACTGCCCTCCACTTCATGACAGTACACAGTAGTATTGAATGGAACACCAGTGCTGTGCTCAGCAGGAGGCTGTGTGTGACTGACAGTAATTCAAACCTAGTGAGCTTCAACACGGATGCCGTGTCGACTACAACAGTAGTACAATCAAAATTAAAAAAACAAGTTCTTCTGTTCAAGCTGAGTCGAGTCGATTCAAAGTTGAAAACAAAAGTCCAAAATTCACCCAGATTTGTTTTTACCGTGAAGTAGAATTAAGAGTCTCCTCATTTAAAGACCCTATAACAGGGACAAATGGTGAGATTTATACACAGCCAATATTTTATTGAGTTTATATTTACAACGCAAAGTTAGAGCAGAACAAATGTTCGTGAAAATTAAATTAAATCGCCCACTGAGCAGCATTTTGGCAAAAACAGGAGGAGGTCTGCAGCAGATCCAGGACCAGTTTTCACTCGGAGGGAGGGGTGAGGCGGGGGTAGGAACAACGTAATCAGCAGTGTTGGATGTAAAGGTAGTTCTGCTGAGTCTGATTTTTTTTAATAATCATAACAACCTCTAATCTGGACCAGTGTTTCTTCCACTGGTTAAAAATCTGATGTTAAATTTCTCTGCCACTGATTCAGCTCCTCTTTTTCCTCAGACACATTTTGTGGTGCGACTGCAGTTTCCTAATGGACAGACTGAGGCCATTATACGGCAGACAGGCCAATGACAGGAGGAGAGACGACTCCACAGTCATTGGCAAGGATGATAATGGTGAAATAATGACTCTTAAATGTCCCCTCCTCAGGTTGACAGAGACCATCACTCATGTCCGGCTCCTTATCTTACACCCCACTGTAGCATGTAGCAGTGCTCCTTCACACTGAAGGAAGAAGTGTCCCCCTCCCAAGGATAATCCAATCACTGATGTGTAAAATTCAATTTATTCTAAGTGATTTCAATATATGTCCGGGCTGAATGGATGGGTAGAACACTTATGAAAGAGTTAGTTCTGCATTCATTTAACAAAAACATTTTTTTTAAAAATGACACACTCAGACCTGGAGCAAAGTGCAGACCTGCAACTTTCCAAATGTGGAGTAAAAACCACTTTCTTCGCTGTAATCCCAGGTTGCTGAATTGACTTTTGAACATGTAATCAAAACACGTTTGCTCATCCGTCAGCAACATCAGCAGCGGCGGCGGCGTCTGTGCTCAGAGGCTGTTTGAAACGACATCTGCCTGGCAGATTAGCTCTCATCAGGACAGAGAGACGCAGCGTTTTCCTACCAGTCATTACAGCAGAGCTGTGAGTATGAAGGGAAAATCATCATCAATCTGCCACGGAGAAAGAAGACAACTGGCCATGCAATCTGTTTTCCCATGAAAACAGCGTGTAACCAATGTCCTACCCTGGTGTCACTGGTGCGACACCCAGCCATGAGTCACCGCTGCTGAAGTGACAGCTGCATAAATTGGAGCTGTCCCAGTGATTTCACAGTCTGAATAAGACGGTCTCATTTAGTGTGGACCGACTCACAGAGTAATCCTGGAATACATGGGGAAGGCAGGGGAGGCAGGGGGAGGCAGGGGTATAATGGTGGCACTGACCCTTCACTGGACCAGGGACGCACTGTATCTCTGCTAACGATGCATTGCAAAGTAGTCTGCTTTATCCTGAAAAGTCACTGGTCATACCATGACACTACACACTCCAGTGCATTAGGTGGCGGTATGCGTCTTGGTTGTGAACCACTATTAAACCCAGATGTCAGGTCCCTACGTAGACTAAGGGACTTGTTCCACAGACACCAACAATGTTGTGGGTTTTACCCCCCCATCCCCCACCACCAACACTACAACCCCAATTACAACATGTTAGTTAAATCCAGATCAGTACAAGCTGCAGGAAACAGGATCTTATCCCCCTCACCCCCCCACCTGTTTAAGTACAGGGCATCATGACCCACCCACCCCCTCACCCCCCAGTAAAAATGAAGGGCCTCTTCATCACTCACTTATTCGCTCAGTCAATCCATCTCCTCCTCATCTTTGGGGAAAGATAAACATCCAGTGGCACACTCCTGCTGTCAGCCTCCGACGGGGGAACATAACCTCGTCAATAGTATTGATGCCAAGGCTGAGCACGTGGTGTGAACTGTGAGCAGGTATTTTACAGCTGAGAGTTATCACGTCCTCACCGCTGACAGGAAACAACGTCTTTATAACATCGGCTTTCTGAAAAAGACAGGACCTGCGGAGCGGAACCAACCGGAAATCACTGGCCGTGGAGGAAAATACTGCAGTACTACACGCAGGGTTTACTCTGAAACGGAGCCCTATAGAAACACAATGATAATGATAATAATATTTTATAGAATAAATGTCATAAATGTTCAATACCACAAAACAGACTTCTGGAACATTCTCTCTTTTTTACCTGTAACTCTGTGAAACAAATACTAACTTAAAAAAAAAAAGATTTTTACATGATTAAAAAAAATGTTGTTACATCATAGTATTTGTATTTGTATTGTATTGTATCCAAAGAAAGTTTGTTAAAATGTCCTGACGTTAAAGTCAACATTTAGTTTCAGTAATTTTATCGTTTCATTTCCTCAACTGTTCATAAATGGTGGTAATTTCACATTAGATGGAATGCAGTAAGAAAAATGTTTCTCTCTTTTGTTGGTGGCTGTGTTACTAATTGCAAACAAATTAATTAAATTTGTTTTGAATGAATATTATTTATTTATTGTAAGTATTTCAGTCAAACCACAACTGCTCCAGTTAAGACTTTAATTAAAAAAAACAACTGGCATAAATGTCTTAAAATGAGAAAAAAAAAATCCGGCTGAAAATGTTCCTGTGTGATGTTCTCTCTCCATGGTTTAGGTGGCGCTCACACCCACACCGCCCTCAGCGCCGCGCCACTCTAAAACACTGCCTTCCAATGATTTGCATTTTGATGGAAAACCAGCGTCAGAAGTATCAGTAATGGTACTTGGTGTCACACCAGTACACACAAAAATACTCTGACTCGTACCGGCTTGTAAACAAAACTGTTACTGCGACACAATAAGGGAGTAAAAGGTAGATGCAGTACTCTATCAGTTCTCGTCCTGTGCGTTCGGAGGACGGTTCTGTTACTGAACTCAGATCAGTTTTTTCCTCACACCCAGCTGTAATGACACTATTTTTCACAGTGTGGTAAAAGCCGTTTCAGACGACGTTATCTGACTGCAGCATGGAAACACCGGCTGCGGTATTTGTTCACGACTGCGATGCTGCTGAAATCCAATGAACCATTGTATTCAACTGTCACATACAGTAAAGAGACGCCAGTGTGTTTGGGTTTTTTCCCCCTCCTTATTGTCTGAGTCTGTTCTGCTGACGGTAGAACAAAAATATCCAGGAAGGATCAAAAATGAATATGGAAGATGAAAATGGTTCCTGAGTGGACCGCGACACCAGTTTGGCCCACACGCCCGTGAATCCCTTTGTTCAAAACACTTTCCGGAGCTGGTTCCCATTATTTCTGAGACTGAAGGTGACAAAAGAGCAGAGAGCTGCTCAGACCTGTGAAATTCATGCTGGGGGATATTCTTCTTCCTTCAGTGCCCCAGGGAAAAGACAAGCAAAGGCCTGCAGTGAAAGCCATGCAGCCTGGGGACAAAAAGGTAGAGCAGAGTACAACCTGGAGCCCGAGGATCCGGACTTTATCAGTTTAGTTAGAAAAAGGGAAAAATGTGGGAGAAAAAGAAACAGAAAAACCTAAAAGTCTGGTTAAAAGTGATGCCACAGAGTAAAACGCTGGATTATATTTTTGTTTTTGTTTGTTTTTCTTTAATTTTTTTCTCCAGATTAATAACTACATCATTTGGATTAGTCACAGGTGAAAAACACTGACCTCTATCTGTTGATCTTGGAGAAAAAATGATTTAAGAAAGTTGATTTATCTCAATTATTATTGATTATTATTATTCCTGATTCAGATAAGACAATTTAAAAAATTTTTTACTAATAAATATATGTATTAATTTTGGGTTTTCCAAAAG